GGGCCCAGAGCCCGCGGCGGCCGGGCCCCCAGCCAGCAATGCAGACTGGCTGGGATGAGAAAAACAGGGACTCATGGGAGGCTCAGAGGGAGCATGGAAGCCAGGGAAGAACCCAGGCATCCGGGCTCCAGCCCCCCCCACTCCCCCAACACACACCCCAGAGAACCCAGGTGTCCGGGCTCCCAGAATCCCCTGTTCCCACCCCGCCACCCCAGAGAACTCAGGTGTCCGGGCGTCCAGCCTCCCTTGCTCTCCTCCTTTCATTAGCCAGACACTGGACACATCTACGTGAGACACTTTAATGCACATTAACCTAATTTAATGTGCATTAATGGCACGTGTCTACACGTGCGCGCCCTTAATATGCATTAAAAATGGCGATTTGGGGCTAATTGCGCCTAAATTTGATCCCTGCAAATTAAGCTCGAATAGTTGAAGCGCCTTAGCGCACGTGTGGGCAGGCTGGATTTGGAATAACTTTAGTCCCAAATCATTCCCCACACAGAGCGTTAATCCACGTTCACACCTGCACGTGTAGATGCCGGCCTACACCTGCTTAATGTGCGTGAAGTTAATGCGCATTAAAAATGTAGGTGCACTTAAATGCACATGCAGACATGCCCACTGAGATGTAATGTGTGATGTGGGGGTCAGCAGGGATGTTGTGAGGGTAGGAATAACACAACATGGTGTTGTGACAGTGTGTGGGAAGTTGTGTGTTAACACAAGGCAATTTTTCAAGAAGAAATGAACTCATAGGTCACACACACATCATCACAACGTTCTTGTGTTAAGTCTTGGGAAGTTGTGTGTGAACACAACACAATTGTGCAGGATGGAAAAAAAATCATAAATAACATACTGTTGTGACCGCGTGTGTGAAGTCTTAGAAAGTTGTGCATTAACACGAGCCAATTTTTCCAGGATGGAAATAACCTGACTTTGTTGTGCTGTTGTGTGTAAAGTCTTGGGAAGTTGTGTGTTAACAACACAACTGTCCAGGATGAAAAAAGCGCATAGATAACACAAGACTGTTGTGATGGTGTGTGTGAAGTCTTGGAAAGGTTGTGTATTCATGGGGAAAAAAAACATCTAAAATGAAAGTAACTCAGTAAACATAGGGTAGAAACAACACAAGATGCCATTGTGGTGTTGTGTGCAAAGGCTGGGAAAGTTGTGTACTGAAACAAAGAAACTGTCTGGGTTGCACAAAAAAAAAGTGAAGACGCACCCAAAATAACACAGCTTGCAAATCCAGAGGACAGAAGACAAGGTTGTGTTGTTTTGTGATGTGTCTAAAGTCTTGGGAAAGTGTGTCTCGACACGAAGGAATTGTGTCTTCAATGACACACAATTCCTCCGTGTTGAAACACAAGGCACTCAATGACCACAGCATAAAAATGACCCAAGAGGGCTAGGGGAGGGTGTGGGGGAGGTCTTGGGTGGTTGTCTATCCACATGAGGACACGGTCTACAATGAAAGGAAGGTGTTGAATGTAGAGCAGAAGTAACACAACCCTTTGTTGCGGTGGTGTGACAGCATCTCGCTCTCTGCAGGCCTCCGGGCTGGTCAGTTTTGGGGTCTTTCTCACTCTGGTGGTCTTCACTCAAGGCCAAGCCATCAGCTCCCAAGGTAAGGCCTCGTTAATGCTCGTTATCTACATGGCTTGGCTGGAGGGAGTTGGATGGAGGGTATCTTCATGCTCATTGGCCGGTTGTAAACGTCCTTCACACATCATCACCATTTCCCGGCCAGAGGTCTTCCATTGAGGCACCTTCCTCCTCCATGTGGTCTTCTCCTGGCCAGGAGATGCTGCATCTCCAAGACTTTATGGTGTCCACCAACCCACCCCAGGTGAGGTGGCCTCTCTCAGTGGTAGATCCCATATGGCTCATCCTCATTGGCCAGAAATGGACTAACATGATGGTTGTAGAGGTCCTCCATATGTCATCTCCATTTCCTGGCCAGAGGTCTTCCATTGAGGCACCTTCCTAATCCATGTTGTCTTCTCTTGGCCTGAAGATGTCACATCTCCAAGACGTTATGGCACCCATTAAGTGAGGTGGCCTATGGTGGTCCCAGTGGTAGATCCCAAACGGCTCATACTCATTGGCTAAAAATGGAGTAATTTGCCGACTGTAGATGTCCTCCACACATCATCTCCATCTGGCCAGAGGTCTTCCATTGAGGTACCTTCCTAGTCCATGTTGGAAGAAACAGCCAGGAAGTCTTGGAGATGTGGCCTCTGGCAGCATCAGCCTACCCTCCGCAGGTGGGGAAACCCATGCTGGTCTCCCATCAAGCCCCTGTCTAGCCAGAGAAGCCATGAAGGTCTTGGAGGGAGGGAGTAGTAGGGCACATATCTCCAGCTACATGGCCATCTTGGCGGTAGACACCCCAAGGTGCCCCCCATAGGCCAATGAAAGTGTGGCAGCCCACTTGTAGACCCCACATGTCTGCCGCAATTAAGAGATGGGTGCACAGATGGGTGATGGGAGAGGTGCACTTCTAGTGCAGAGATGGGTGATGGGAGAAGAGACAGGGGTCTTGGGGGGGTGGTTGCGGGTGTTACTCATGGGTTGACCCTGTCTCTCAGGTGAGAAGATGGGGTGCGGCGCGGAGGCCGTGCCGGTGGACTGCCAGGATGTCTATGAGACAGGCGAGACGGAGGATGGTGTGTACCTCATCTACCCTGCAGGTGCCAGCCACCCCCTGCCCGTCTACTGCGACATGACCACCGACAACGGCGTCTGGACGGTAGGGGGAGTGGGATGTGGGGGGAGAACCCAGGTGCCTGAGCCCTGTCACTGGAGGTGCCCGATCCATCTGCGTAGGCAGGTGGGCCCCCATGAGGCTGCCAGTGACCTCTGTGACCTCTCCCAGGTTTTCCAGAAGAGGTTCAATGGCTCCGTCAGCTTCTTCCGGGGCTGGAACGACTATCGCTTTGGGTTCGGGAGAGCCGACGGCGAGTACTGGCTGGGTACGGGTGGCCCCGCCCCCCGAGCCATCTCCTCCACATACCACTCCTTCCATCCATCTACACCCTATCCATCCACCTCACCATCCATCTATGGACCTACACCCTGTCCATCCATCCATCCCTCCCCTCCACCGACCCCTCCACCCCCCCACCCACCCACGTACCCCTTCAATCCACCCAATTTATCTATCTGTCCCTCCATCCATCCACCCACCCACCCATAACCTGTCCATCCACCCACATACCCCTTCAAACCACATCTCCACGCATCCATCCCTAGACTTATCCATCTACTCCTCCATTTATCCATCCATCCCCTTCAGACACCCCTCCATCCATCCAACCACCCACACCCTATCCATCCACCCACCCACCTATCCATCCATCCACATATCCTCAATCTACCCACCTATCCATCCATCAGAATTATTTATCCATCCATCCATCCATCCATCCACCCACCGACCCCTGTACCCCTTCAGTCCACCCCTCGATCCATCCAATTTATCAATCCGTCCATCCATCTCCATTCATCCATCCCTGCACCTATAAATCCATCCATCACCCACCTATTCCCCATCCATCCATTCATTCATCCCCTCCGCACACCCCTCCCTCCCTCCATGCACCCCTTCAATCCACCCCTCCCTCCATCCATCCTTGGACCTATACATCCACCCACCCACCCGCCTTCCATCCACCCATCCCTCCACCCACCTCTGCATCCCACCATGCATGTCTTTACCCAC